CCTATCCAAAACCGCATGAGACCAGTGAGGAGAGGTATCTCCATGCCTTGGAAATCAGGAGGGCATTCACCTTCTGTCTGGATCATATGAGACCCTTCTGTAAATCCTTGCAGCTTTCAAGGCATTCACCAAACGAATGAAAGCTCTTCCGGTTTCTTCACAACGAATTTCCAGGTGGATCACTCTCTGAATCAGAACATGCTATGAACTGGCTGGTGAGGGTGCCCTCCACTGGGCACAAGCCCCTTCAACCTCTTTCCTGGCCAGTGTCCCAGTCATGGGCATCTGTAAGGCTGCAACGAGGTCTTCTGTCCATATGTTTACATCCCACTACACCAAGATCAAATCAGTTTCTTAGATGCCTATATACAAATGCAAGAAATATGGGTAATAAGCAGGAAGAACTGGACGTGCTAATAAATAAATACAACTATGACATCGTTGGCATCACAGAGACTTGGTGGGATAATATACACGATTCGAATATTGGTATAGAAGGGTACAGCTTAGGAAGGACAAGCTGGGGAAAAGAGGGAGGAGGTGTTGCCTTATATATTAAAAATGTACACACTTGAACTGAGGTGGAGATGGCCATGTTGAGAGTCTCTGGGTTAGGCTAAAAGGGGTAAAAAACAAGGGTGATGTCATGCTAGGGGTCTACTACAGGCCACCTACCCAGGCAGAAGAGGCCGACGAGGCTTTTTTTAAACAACTAACAAAATCATCCAAAGCGCAGGATTTGGTGGTGATGGGGGACTTCAACTATCCAGATATATGTTGGGAAAATAACACAGCGGGTCACAGACTATCCAATAAGTTCTTGGACTGCATTGAAGACCACTTTTTATTTCAGAAGGTTGAAAAAGCTACTGGGGAGAAACTGTTCTAGATTTGATTTTAACAAATAGGGAGGAACTGGTTGAGAATTTGAAAGTGGAAGGCAGCTTGGGTGAAAGTGATCATGAAATCATAGAGTTCATGATTTTAAGGTATGGTAGAAGGGAGAACGGCAAATTAGAGAAAATGGATTTCAGGAGGGCAGATTTTGGTAAGCTCAGAGAGCTGGTAGGTAAGGTCCCATGGGAAGCAAGACTGAGGGGGAAAACAGCTGAAGAGAGTTGGCAGTTTTTCAAGGGGACATTATTAAGGGCCCAAAAGCAAGCTATTCTGCCTTGTAGGAAAGATAGAAAATATGACAGAAGACCTCCTTGGATCAACCGGAGATCTTGCATGATCTAAAAATAAAAAAGGAGTCTTATAAAAAATGGAAACTAGGACAAATTACGAAGGATGAATATAGGCAAACAATACAGCAATGCAGGGGCAAGATTAAGAAGGCAAAGGCACAAAAAGGCTCAGTTTAGCTACAGGTATAAAGGGAAACAAGAAGACATTCTATAAATATATTAGAAGCAAGAGGAAGACCAAGGACAGAGTAGGCCCATTGCTCAGTGAGAAGGGAGAAACAGTAACAGGAACCTTGGATGGCAGATGCGCTTAATGACTTCTTTGTTTCAGTCTTCACCAAAAAGTCTGATGATGAAGGAATGCCTACATAGTGAATACTATTGGGAATAGGGTAAGTTTATAAGATAAAATAAAAAAGAACAAGTTAAAAATCACTTAGAAAAGTTGGATGTCTGCAAATCACCGGGGCCTGATGAAATGCATCCTAGAATACTCAAGGAGCTGATTAAGGAGGTATCTGAGCCTTTAGCTATCATCTTTGAAAAATCCTAGAAGACCGGAGAGATTCCAGAAGACTGGAAAAAGTCAAATATAGTGCCCATCTATAAAAAGGGAGATAAGAACAACGCAGAAAACTACAGACCAGTCAGTTTAACTCCTGTTCTAGGAAAAATAATGGAGCAAGTAATTAAGGAAATCATTTGCAAACATCTGGAAGATAATAAGGTGATAGGTAACAGCCAGCATGAATTTATAAAGAACAAATCATGTCAAACCAATCAGATAGCTTTCTTTGATAAGATAACGAGTCTTGTGGATAAGGGAGAAGTGGTGGATGTGGTATACCTAGACTTTAGTAAGGCATTTGATTTGGTCTTGCATGATCTTCTTATCAATAAATTAGGTAAATACAATTTAGATGGGGCTACTATAAGGTGGGTGCATAACTGGCTAGATAACCATTCTCGGAGAGTAGTTATTAATGGTTCACAATCCTGCTAGAAGGGCATAACAAGTGGGGTTTTGCAGGGGTCTTTTTTGTGACCGGTTGTGTTCAATATCTTCATCAATGATTTAGATATTGGCATAGAGAGTACGCTTATTAAGTTTGCAGATGATACCAAGCTAGGAGGGGTTGCAACTGCTTTGGAGGATAGGGTCATAATTCAAAATGATCTAGACAAACTGGAGAAATGGTCTGAGGTAAATAGGATGAAGTTGAATAAGGAGAAATGCAAAGTACTCCACCTAGGAAGGAACAATCAATTTCACACATACCGAATGGGAAGCGACTGACTAGGAAGGAGTACTGCAGAAAGAAATCTAGGGATCATAGTGGACAACAAGCAAATATGAGCCAACAGTGTTATACTGTTGCAAAAAAGCAAACATGATTCTGGCATGTATTGACAGGAATGTTGTGAGCAAGACATGAGAAGTCATTCTTCCTCTCTACCCTGTACTGATTAGGCCTCAATTGGTATATTATGTCCAGTTCCGAGCACTACATTTCAAGAAAGATGTGGAGAAATTGGAGAAGGTCCAGAGAAGAGCAATAAGAATGATTAAAGGTCTAGAGAACATGACCTATGAAGGAAGACTAAAAGAATTGGGCTTGTTTAGTTTGGAAATGAAGACTGAGAGGGGACATGATAGCGGTTTTCAGGTATCTAAAAGGGTGTTAGAAGGAGGAGGGAGAAAAATTGTTCTCCTTGGACTCTGAGCATAAGATAAGAAGTAACGAGCTTAAACTGCAGCAAGGGAGGTTTAGGTAAGCCTCTAGGACAAGAAGCAATGGGCTTAAACTGCAGCAAGGGAGGTTTAGGTTGGACATTAGGAAAAAGTTCTTAACTGTTAGGGTGGTTAAACACTGGAATAAATTGCCCAGGGAGGTTGTGGAATCCCCATCTCTGGAGATATTTAAGAGTAGGTTAGATAAATGTGTGTCACGGATGGTCTACAGTACTGGGTCCTGCCATGAGGGCAGGGGACTGGACTTGGTGACCTCTCAAGGACCCTTCCAGTCCTAGTATTCTTTGATTATGCAGCAGGCCAGAGGAGACGCGGGATTCAGCAGGGCCATACTGACTTCTTCACGTCCTTTAAAAAAAAAAATTAAAGGTTTTAAAAAAAAAAAAAGTAAACTCTTACCCACCTCTGCAGGCACTGCTTGCAGTTTCCTGTGTTGATTGGACATGAGCAATTACTCCAAAAAGAAAAGACAGTTACATGTTTCTGTAACTGGTGTTCTTCGAGATGAATGGACATGAGCAACACAACCTCCCACCCTCCTTCCCCTCTGTCGGAGTTTCCGGCAAGAAGGAACTGAAGAGGGAAGGGCCCGGGGTGCCCTATATAACAAAGCATGTGTGCACCTTTTCAGGGGGTGCTGGATCCTGTCCCGGACGGATACTGTTGAGGGAAAATCTTCCGGCACTGGTGCATGTGGCAAGCACACACACTACATTGAATGGACATGCCCAACACATGTCTCGAAGAACAGCTGTTAGGAAAACAGGTGTAACTGTCTTTTTTGTGATCACTTCCACTTTCAGATTCTCAACTAGTTCTTCCCTATTTCTTAAAATCAAATCTAGAATAGCCTCCCCCCAGTATCTTTCTCCACCTTCTGAATTAAAAGGGGTCTCCAATACATTCCAACAAGGTGTTGGCTTGCTTTGTTATTTTCCTAGCTGTTTTTTGGGTAGTTGAAGCCTTCCCCTCTCCCCCCATCACCACCAAGTCCTGTGCTTTCCATGATTTTATTAGTTGCTTAAAAGAAGCCTTATCCACCTCCTCTTCCTGGTTAAGTGGTTAGTAGCAGACCCCTACCACAACATCAGCCTTGTATTTTTACCCCTTTTATCCTACCAAGAGAATCTCAACAAGTCCGTCTCCTACGTCCCTCTCAACCTCTGGCTATGTGTTTACATTTTTAATATACTACACCTCCCCTGTCTGCCTGCCTGTCCTTCCTGAGTGAGCAGTGCCCTTCTCTACTAATATTTCAGTCATGCATATTATCCCACCAAGTTTCCGTGATGCCAACTCTGTCATAGCTGTGTTTGACTAGTATTGCAAGTGCTTCCTGCATTAGTGTATAGACATCTAAGCTGCTGCTGCTCTGCCTTAGTTTCCCTATCCACCCCTTGTCTGTTCAGTCTGCAAGCTGTTGGCACTATTCCTGGCTGTCCATTCCAGCAGCACCCTGCCTCCCCTCCCAATGCAGCTCCTACTCTGGCTGTTCTTACCAGCTGGAACCAAAATGCTGCCACCTCTGGGGCGGATCGTCTGGTTACAAAGGGACCCCTTGCCCAGCACTGAGATGTGGCCACCTTTGGGATGAGCTCGCTGGTTACACGGAGACCCTTCACCCAATGGCAAGAATTGCCCACCTCTGGGGCGGAGCGGCTGGTTAGACAGGGTCCCCTTGCCTGGCATTGAGATGCAGCCACCTCTGGGGTGGGACAGTTGATTATACAGGATCCCTTACCTCACACTGCCCTGCAGACACCATTGACCCTCATCTCCCCTCCACAGACCCCGTAGCAAGTCTGCCTGGCACATCCACATGCACAGCCGGCTGGAGAGGGTGCTGCCAGCGGACCCCCCGGCACCGGCGCCTCCTCCCCAGCCACCCAGGCGGGGGCAGCGCTGTGCCCCAGCCCCCATGCCAAGCACCAGTAGGTAATGCAGTGTGGCCAGTGGCGGTGACTCTGCTTGGGACAAGGTGCAGCTGCGCTGGTGATGGGCTGCTGTGGCTGGGGTGCAAGGGTGGGGGTTCTGCTTTGCTTTCCCATCATGCCACGCAGCAACCCGGACCTGCGGCGCAGCGACCCTGGGTGGGAGAGGGCCGACAGCCTGCTGCAGGCGAGCAGCACCAACCTGCCCCAAGCTGGCTCCTTGGAGCGCAACCGCATCGGGGGTAGGCACAGATTGGGGGCAGAGGGTACTGGGGAGTGTGGTACAGGTTATGGGGCACTGAGGGGCAGGGCAGAGCATGGGGGCATTGGCAGGGAATGGGTGCACTGGGGGATGTGGGGCAGGGCAAGGGGGCGTTGGCAGGGAATGGGGGCACCGGGGGATGTAGGGCAGGACAGGGCAAGGGGGCGTTGGCAGGGAATGGGAGCACCGGGGGATGTGGGACAGGGCAAGGGGGAACCAGAGGGCAGGACTGGGCATGGAGGCAGCTCCCTGGAAAAGATGTGGATATGAGGAGGGGAAGGAGAAAGGCCAAGGGTCCCCTTTTACTCCCTCCCCCGCCCCCTCAGCACTGACCTGATCTCCCCCCAGCTGCGTCCAAGAGGGAGAGCTCCCCCATCCTACCCCCTGTGAGCAAGCCCAAGGTGGAGGATCACCGTTCACGCCCCGGCCGGCCTGCGGTGAGTGTCGGAGTGCGCCTGAGGCCGTGCACTAGGGATGGGGTTGGGGCACCCTGCGAGAGAGCATCTCTGGCTACGCAGACACCCAGAGCAAGCAGCATGGATAGCTCCGTGCTCCCACAGTGTCCCGGGGCCAGGAGGAGCAGGCTGTGCCGGGGCGCATCCCCCTCCCTCGAGTAGACTGCAGGGCCAGGCCATCTGGGAGGAGGCTTTCAATCCTGTGACGTGGGGAGAGAACCCAGGAGTCCTGACTCACTTTCCCCCTGCCTCCTGCTCTAACCCACCAGCCACTCCCCTCCCAGAGTCGAGGAGAGAACCCAGGAGTCCTGGCTCCCAGCCCTCTTCTGATTGGTGTGTGTCTGACCTGGGGGGTGTCGGGGTGGCAGTGCCAAGCCCCCCTGGCATCACATTCCAGTTGAGGCCGGGCTCGGGGGCACTCGGGGTCTTGTTGTAACCGCGTTAACCTCTGCGCCCTTCCTTCTCTCTGCTCCTCGCGCCCCACCACAGAGCTATAAACGCGCCATCGGCGAGGTTAGTGTGTCCGTGTGTCTGT